AAAATCGTAACTGATAATTTGAGAAAATAAAAATAAAGATAAAATAGACACAAAATTTACGTGGAAAACCCCTAAATAATATAGGGTAAAAACCACGGGTAACGGTAAAAGAATTTCACTATGAGAAAATAGGAATTACAACTTCTCTCGATCTACCAAGGAGAAAACAATGATAATTCTCTCGTGATAAAAAAGGAGAAAACAACTCTCAAGAAACTCTCTAAATTCTCTAGTATTGGGAGAAAGCTAGAATGATTTGGGATGGTTTTGAAGCTAAATGAGCTAGGGTATTTATAGTTGAAGCTTAAGGACTAATCTTGTAAATACCCTAAAGTACAATGACTAAATTGCAATTATACCATAAATTTTTTTTCAACAAAATCAAACCAACTTTTTGACAATTTCCAAAAGGTGGAATTTTTTTCAACTTTTCGATGCATCCACCAAAAGCAACTTTGAATTTCAACAATCTCTCACTTGAAGATTAGATTAGAACAATCATATCTTCACACCATTCTTTCTAACTTGTACCATCATGTTGCTTACGTTTCTGACAGGCCACAAGAGGATCGACACCAAGTAAATTTATCGGTATTGATCGCCTTCGTCATGAAATCTGCTATGTTGTCTTTGGTATGGATTTTCTGCATATCTACCGTCCCTTCTTCCACCTTTTCACGAATGAAATGGTATTGAACTCGTATGTGCTTTGACTTTGAATGAAATGTTGGATTCCTTGCTAAATGCAAGGCGCTTTGACTATCATAAAACAGAGAGACATACTCTTAATTGTTCCCAAGCTCCTCCAATAGCATCTTCAACCAAATTGTTTCTTTACTGACTTGTGTAGGTGCTACATATTCTGTTTCTGTTGTGGACGTAGCCACAACTGACTGCAATTTTGAAACCCAGCTTACAGCTCCACCAGCAACTTTGAACATATATCCTGTAGTAGATTTGCTTTTATCCAAATCCCTTGCATAGTCAGAATCTACATACCCATAGATTAGTAAGTTTGATCCTCCGTAACATTTGAGGTCCCGTTGATGTATCTCAGGATCCTCTTTATTGTATTCCAATGCTCTTTGCCTGGATTCGCATGTACCGACTAACCACTCCCACTGCTTGTGCAATGTCTGGTCTTGTGCATATCATAGCGAACATTAAACTTCCCACTGCTGATGCATACGGTACTCGAGACATCTCCATCCTCTCTTGTTCACTGTTAGGACTCATACTGAAGAATAATTTGAAGTTATTAGGAAGAGAGGTAGAAATTGACATACAATCTTGCATGCTGAATCGTGACAATATCTTCTTCAAGTAATTCTTTTGTGAAAGCCAAATCTTCCTATTACTTCTGTCTCGGTGAATTTGCATCCCTAGAATCTTGTTTGTTGATCCTAAGTCCTTCATTTCAAATTCCCTAGACAGTTGTGCATTCAATTCTTCAATATGATCTTTGTTGGGTCCTGCAACCAACATGTCATCCACATACAACAGCAATATAATAAAATCGTTATCACCAGATCTCTTAAAATAAGCACAAGGGTCTGCATTACGTTTGTTGTATCCAAGGCACATAATGAAGGAATCAAATCTCTTATACCAACACCTCATCGCATGCTTTAGACCGTACAGAGATTTGTTCAACCTGCAAACCAAGTTCTTCTTTTCATCTTCTTCAAAACCTTCAGGCTGGAGCATGTAATCTTTTCTTCAAGATTTCCATGAAGAAAAGTTGTTTTAACATCTAGCTACTCTAGATGTAAGTTCAATGTAGCACACATTGCCAAAACTACTCGAACTGTTGTTAGTTGAACCACATGAGAAAAGATTTCATTTAAATAAATACCTTCTTTTTGAGCATATCCTTTGACCACCAGTCTTGCACGATACCTCCCCACTTGATCGTCACCATTTCGCTTGATTTTGAAGACCTATTTGTTACAAATTGGCTTCATTCCTTACGGTAGTGGCACAAGGTCTCATGTATTATTTTTATGAAGGTTTTCAATTTCTTCTTGCATCGATCATCCATAGTGAAGCATCTGAGTTGTTTATTGCCTCCTGGTATGTTGATGGCTCACCGCCCTCTGTTAAAAGGTAGCATGCAATATTACATTCTATAACATAATCTGAGTGCCAATTGGGACGTCTTCTCACATGATCTGATTGACGAGTTGTTGGAGCTTCAGAACTCTCTGGTTCTTGTTCATCATATGCTGGTCTGCTTCAGAAGAATCTCCTTGTTCAACCTCCTTTTCCACATTTATCTATATAATCTCTGACTTTTCAGTGCTATCATCGTCTTTTTTTCTTTGTAGTTTATCTTATATAAAGATAACATCCCTGCTGATGATCACTTTGCGGACAGTGGGATCCCAAGAGCGATACCCCTTTACACCATCAACATACCCCAAGAATTTGCATTTCCTGGATTTAGGATCCAGCTTTGAAATTTCTTGGGAGTTGTACATCACGTACACAATACTTCCAAATACATGGAGGTTTGAATAATTAGCTGGTTTACCAGTCCACATCTCCATTGGTGTCTTCAGCTCTATTGCAGTTGATGGAGCTCGATTCACCAAATAACAGGCGGCATTGACTGCTTCTGCTCAGAATGATTTTTCTAGGCCTGCATCCTTCAACATTGCTCTTGTTCTTTCTATCAAGGTTCTGTTCATCCGCTCTACCACTCCATTTTGTTGAGGAGTGTTCGCCACTGTGAACTGTCTTTTGATGCATTCTTTCCTACAAAAATCATCAAATTCTTCATTTGTGTATTCTTCTCCATTATCTGTTCTGAAACACTTGATCTTATTTCCAGAATTAAGTTCCACCATCGCTTTGAAGTTTTTGAAAGTTGAAAACACGTCTGACTTCTTCTTAATAGGGTACACCCAACATCTTCAGGAATAGTCATAAATAAATGAGACAAAATATTTTGTTCCGCCTAGGGATGTAATTGGTGCTTGCCATACGCCAGAGTGAACCAATTCTAGAACACTTTTGCCTCTAGAATTTGATGTGTTGAATTTCAACCGGTGCTGCTTACTTGTTATGCAATGCTCACACAAAGTAAGTGATACATTTGTTAAGCCTAGAAGTAGCTTTTGCTCCACAAAGACTTACATTCCTTGTTCTGATATGTGTCCAAGTTTGTGATGCCATAGCATTGCAGAATCTGAATAACATGAGGCAACAGAGGCTTCTGCATCTAGCAAAGTCTCTCCCTTCAGCATGTACAAGTTTGCTGCTATCTTTTTGCCTTTCATCACCACAAGCGCTCCATGGAACACCTTCATGATTCTTTTCTGTGTTTCAATCTTGCTTGCATTATTATCCAACAATCCGTAGGATAATAAATTTTTCTTCAGGCCTTTCACGTACCGCATATCTCGAACAACTTTAATTATTCCATCATACATCTTCAATTTGATGGTTCCCACGCCAACGATCTCTAAGGCATGATCATTGCAACTATACACAGATCCTCCTGAGACAAGTTCATACTGATGGAATCATTCTCTTCATGAGGTCATGTGATATGTTGCTCCCGAATTAATGAGCCATATATCTGTAAATCTTTTTCTACCTTCCACTGTGGTTGACGCTTCACAGCATAGAGCATCTCCATCATCTGAAGTGTTTGCGGTATTGCATTGTGGATTGGAGTTTTTACTTAGACTCCAACAATCATTCTTCAAGTGACCCTTCTTTCCACAGTTGTAGCACTTTAAATTCTTCTTGCTTCTCGACTTTGATCTACCATGTTTGTGACTGTTGTTTTGGCCACATTTTGTTGATCTCCCTCTCATCGTTGACAACGCTTATGCTTGTTGCAGATTTACTTGTCTGTCCTACTTGTTCTTTCGCCAATTTTCTTCTTGTAGAACAGCACTGCAACGTCATCGAAGACTAGACTGATGACATTATTGTTTGTCAAGTTGATGATGAGTTGATCATACGAATCTGGTAGACTTTGAAGTAGAAGTTCATCACGTTTTTGTTCTCCTATTGTACATTTTAGGGATGTAAGCTGAGAAAATAAAGTGTTCAGAGTGTTTAAGTGCTCCGTCACTGAAGTAGATTCTGGCATCCGGAGAGTGTACAATTTCCTCTTAAGGAAAATTTTATTATGCAACGATATGGCCTCGTACAATTTGGTGAGATGATCTCATATCTCCTTAGTTGTCTTCTTCTCCTTGATACTTGACAATACTTTATCTGATAATGCTAGATGAAAGTTTGTCATAACATTCCCGTCCATTTCGGTCCATTTGTTGTCATCTGTGAAATCTACCGGTCTTTCACTGATAGTTGCTAGACAACCGTCTTTCCTTAGGATGACCTTCATCTTCAATTTCCACAATGAGAAATTTCTCCTATTGAATTTTTCAATATCAAATTTCATTGCCATAGCTTCTATTACGGTTAGTTCCCACTATTTCACTGTCGTGAATAATTCTCTGGAACCTTCAAAGAATGGGTAATACCTTCTTACTTTCTTATGTTTGAGGATCCATCTTTTGGTGGCAACCACAAAGACAATAAGTAGATTTTACACACTTTAATCTGGCTCTGATGCCAATTATTGCGGAAGACGACTATCGGATAGAGCAAAATCGCAACAGATAATTTGAGAAAATAAAAATCAAGATAAAAGAGACACAAAATTTACGTGGAAAACCCCTAAATAATATAGGGTAAAAATCACAGGCAACGGTAGAAGAATTTCACTATGAGAAAATAGGAATTACAACTTCTCTCGATCTACCAAGGAGAAAACAATGATAATTCTCTCTTGATAAAAAAGTAGAAAAACAACTCTCAAGAAACTCTCTAGTATTGGGAGAAAGCTAGAATGATTTGGGATGGTTTTGAAGCTAAATAAGCTAGGGTATTTATAGTTGAAGCTTAAGGACTAATCTTATAAATACTCTAAAGTACAATGACTAAATTACAATTATACCATAAAAAAATTTTCAACAAAATCAAACCAACTTTTTGACAATTTCTAAAAGGTGGAATTTTTTTTCAACTTTTCGGTGCATCCATCGAAAGCAACTTTGAATTTCAACAACCGCTACGACGGAAGCTGAAGGGATGACGTCAGAGCTACAAAGCGAAGAGTTGCCATTTACCATGTTGCTGGTGTTATCTTCTGTTGCAAGATAGCTTCGGAATTGGTTTAAGGGAATTTTCCGGTTTTGGGTCAGCAAGGGAGTACAATCAAGGGAAGGCTCCATTTTGAGAATTCCTTGGGGTCGGCCAGAAGGACGGTGGATTTGAAGGGCGACAGGTTTAGCGGCATCGTTGTTAGTTGCGGTGCTGTCAGCATCCAAGTCCAAAAATTTCCTGAAGAAGACTTTAACTTGTCCAATGAGAGCATCTCTAACCCAGGTCGCCGTGTAAATCTCGACAAAAACAACAGAGTCGTTGGAGTTGAGAAAGTCATCATCGACTTGGAACTCGAGTGTATAATTCCAGGTGGATTCGTCCCGCCAGTCTGGTCTACATCGGTGGAGAACAGAGTTTTAAATAGCGTTCGCGGTCACGTTTTCGGTCGCATCACGTTTATCACATTTACGAATATAACAGATATCATTGCGGTTATTGCGGGTTTCGTTGTCGTGAATTTTTTTAAATGTTGCACAATTTACCCTAAAATGACTAAATTAAATATAATTAAAATAAAATTATAAAATTTAAATTGCATAAATTTATATTACTGAAATTAATACTAAATTAAATAAAAATTAAAGTTTACATTTTAAACTAGGGATTAAATTATAAATTCTAAAAGTGGGAGTGATCTCAAATTAATATATCCTTTAAAATTATGTTTTAAAAATTATTAAAAAAAAGAAATAAATCACCCCTCCCCCTTCCCCGACATTTCTGCCTCTCATTCTCTAACCTTTATGGTTCTAGTCTTCTGTCTTCCCCTTCCTCTTCCCCTTTCTCCTTCCCCCATCATTGTCTGAAACAAAAAAAAACTGCGCCACCAATGTTTGTGCAAGTAATGTTGGTTTTTTTTTATTTTGGAATCACAGTTGAATAACGATTATTGCGTCCCGTTATCGACGCAATCATCCATTTCCCGTTAAATTGCGGGCGCAATCGATCGAGATTGGTTTGAATCCGTGACCCACCGCAAAAACCATGAAAATCGATTTCGGACGGTGGCGCGAACGCAATATCACGGCCGCTATCATGTTTTAGAAACGCTATTTGATACCCTGGTGGAGAGCTTCCGGTCTTGTTGGACCCAAGCAATGGCGTAGGTCTTCATGTGTTTGGAGACATGGGGATGGTAGTGAACGGAAATAAGGTTGATCTCTAAAGTCTTGGAAGGTGGAGGAGCCATCTTCGGTAGTGGGTTAGGCGGAAAAACCTCTAACACGTCGTGAGTAAACCGACGACAATCAAAGAAAGATAGATGTTATTTCAGGAATGAACTATGTCTCTAAGATGATGGGGAGAAATAAATATGGAGGCGAAATGATATCGAAAATTACTTAATTTGGCATTGCTTTTACACCATCATATTTTTAGCACCTAGTTCGTTAATAATCATCTAAATTCTCACAATTCCTTATCATTTTACTTTGTTGAAATAGAGAGACGCACAAAAGAGTTTAAATTTATATTTACTTTATCGAATGAGTCAATTATGAATTGAATAGGGTTTAACTTGATTTAAAAATTATTTGATTTGTGTTTGATTTGATTTGAATCGACACCATAATTAATAAGTGTTTAAAATATTTTTTGTCAAAATAAATATATATCATTTTATTATATTATAATTTTAAGATCGAATCATCAACATTTATTAAAAAAGTACTATTCAATCATTAGTTACACAATCTTTAATTTATTTTATTTTTTGATTTAGAAAAATAAATTTTTAATATCTGAAATAATTCTAATATATTTAATTTTTCACAAACCTTTAAAATCACTTTTCTCCTAAAATAAACCTAATCATTTTTCTTTTTCAACATTCTTTTTTCTCTCCCTTGGAAACACAGAGACAATCTGTCTTTTTCGTCCAATATATCTTACTGTCCACGTACCTCTTTTTCATTGAATTTTGTTATTGATTGGTTTCTTAACACTTTCAAAAATCGAATATCTACGTCACTTATCGCCCTTTGGCATGCACTAGTCACAAAAAGCGATTAGTAGTAGTGGTTATTGTGAAAGATGTGATTTAGGCATTTTTTAGAATTTTAGAAGTTTTAAGAAATTAATGATTTTACGTTTTTAAAATAAAATAAAAACAATATATTCATTAAATGATAAATTACTTTGTCGTACATTGAATGTTTAACCTCAAAATGTAAAAAATAAAACCTTTTTTTAAAGAAAGATGAAATATATTTTTGTATTAAACTTTTTTAAATATTTGTTTTTGTATTATTTTTTCCTTAATGCTGCATCTTATTTATTATAGGGCCGTAAAATTGATTTACAAGTTAATTTCTACTAAAATGTTATCATTAATATCTTCCAATTAACATTATTAATATTTAACAATTAATATGTGATATTATTATACAATAATATTTTGTATGATAAGAGAAAGAAAGATAAATTATCTGATTTTGAAATTTTAAATATAATATTAATCAAAATCTATTTCAACTAAAGTGATATGTCATTCTACCATAAACATATATAAATATTTTAAAAATCACACACATATATATATATGTATATATAAATTCAAAACAACATTTTTTTTTACAAACAGCAAAAAAGCAAAGCTAAGGGAGATGTGTTCTGCTCAAGGCAACCATATCAGAGCCAAGGATTGATTGAACTTCTCTCGTGGGATGGATGAGGATCAGGAGATCAACCTCTGTATGACGGCTGAGTCGAGCCACAGCGTCGGCCAGCCTGCTGGCATCACGCTGAACGTGAGTGAAGGTAAGCCTCCATTGACGATTCACGTAGCTGCGGATTCGTCTAATCACGGTAGTCTCATGCGACTGGGGTGCGCCGTTAAGCTGGCGGATAGCTTCGAGGTTGTCGAGTTCCACCTCTATGTGGCGAATGCCATGGTTCCACGCGACCACCAGACCATCAAAGACCACCCAAAGCTCAGCTTGGTAGGCGGAGCAACGGCCAATGTTCCTGGTAAAACCCGCGATCCATTCCCCACGGCTGTCTCGGACAACACCGCCTCCGGTCGCCTTCATCGTGTTAAAACACAGAGACCCATCAGTGTTGAGTTTGTACGTACCTGTTGGAGGGAGTTTCAGAAGCCTTTTTTGCGTTGGTGAGTGGTGTTCTTGGCCACCTGTTGGCTGGCTTTAATGGTGACCGCCCAAGCTCTAACAGATTGGACAATGGCTATTGAAGAGCAAATTTGCCCATTAAAGATAAAACAGTTTCGTTGCTTCCAGAAACGCCAAAGGAGGATCCCTAATACATGTCTCCACATGAAGTCAACACCATTGAGAGAGGATTGCTTAGCCAAATTAGCAGAAAGCCAGTCCTTGAGGGGGGTGGTGAAGAAGCCAACGGAAGCATGATTTGGAACTAGGATTTCTCAGATCGCTCGGGTCTGGTGACACTCCCTCAAAACATGGATAATAGATTCATCTTCCAGTCCACAAACCGGGCACCGAGGATCAGCCGAAAGGCCTCGTCTGTGACGTTCGACAATGGTCATAATCCTGTTTCGTAAAACAAGCCACAAAAAAATGTCAAACTCTCTGAGGGCCATCAAAACTCCAGGCGATAATCCAATCCTCACTACCAGAATCCAGGGTTTCATATCGCGGTCGCGGTAGCGTTTTCGGTTTTTTCGGATTTACCGTGATTGCGGCCGTCGCGGGCATTATTGAGGCCGTCGCAGAGGCTATTGAGACCGTCGCGGGTAACTCGGACGGCGACGAATCCGCTATATCACGGCCGAAATCACGGTGACGGACCGTTTTTTAAACCCAGCCAGAATCCCACTTATCATGCTGGAGCAAGTCGAAAGCTGATTTAACCGAACAAACTCCAAAGTGATCCCACCTCCAATTGGGAACGTCATCACCCATTGAATCACAAGGCAGAGGGATGTTACTAATATGCTGCACAAGATCATCGCTGCTAAGGAATTGCCTAAGCTTGGCAAAATTCCAGGTACCTTCCATCGTGACCATGTCTCTAACAACCGAATGAGGGTGACGAATCTGATCGATGTTAACATAGTGAGCTAAGGGCCACCTACCCGGAATCCAGGAGTCAAGCCAGGACCTGGTACTGCGAACCTTACCCAAAGACCAACTTATGTTTTCGCGGATACAAGGCCAAACACGAGCGAGCGATTTCCAGATAAAAGAACCCTTTTTTGCATCGATGTTCATTGGAACGGTCTCTTCAACTTTTTACTTAGCTTTTAAAATTTGGACCCAAAGATAATCCGGTCTCATTAGCATATTGAATCCAAGCTTCACAAGAAAAGTTTCATTTTGCAAGCGAAGAAGTTGGATGCCAAGGCCTCCATGAATGGTCTGCTGACAATACTTTTCCCACTTGACCAGAGACGCTTTTGGATTATCCATCGTTCCTCCCCAAATAAAGCACCTTGCTATCTTGTCAATTTGATCACACACACAGTTTGCATAAAATGATTTGGGATCGCAAGAAGAGTTGACCGAGCAAGTGTCACCCTCCCGGCCATCGGAAGTTTTGTTGCCTTCCAACCACTTAGCTTCTTACGAACTTTATCCACTATAAACTCAAACGTGCTTTTCGCGACTCTCTAGTGAAAGAGAGGTAAACCAAGATATTTTCCGAGGTCCATGGAACATTAGAATCCAAGAGAGAAAACGATGTTTTGAGCCATATCATCACTAGTGTTGCAGAAAAGAAGAGTCGCGTATTATTGGAGTTTTCTTTGTGGCCAAAAAATCTACTGAATTGGTCCAAAAGATCAAATTAAATCATCAACAAAAAAAAAAAATGAGAGTGAGGGGGCTATTTTGAGGTAGAAATATCGGTTCCCAAAGCCCCATATCCACATCATACTTGATGATATGGCCCAACTGTTGTTGTGGAAATCGGATTATTTCTCACACGAACGTAGTTTTAAAATTGACCTAAAATGTCAAGATCAAAACCACCAAAGGTTACATAGGGAATAAACCGTCAAACTATTGAATATTAAAATACAATGGGAAAATCGAATAAAAACAATAAAGGAGATAACACACCAAATTTACGAGGTTCGATGAGAATATCGTCTACTCCTCGGGCACCACACTGGATGATAACTTCACTATTAACAAATATTACAACAAATGGAATTCTTTAGAATTCCCAAAGTGAGATAATGAAGAAAACAAGAGGAAGAGAGAACTTGTTTTGGGATGATTTCTAATGAAATACTTAGGTCTATTTATAGTTGAGTTTTAAGGACTAAACTTATAAATAACCTAATATTTTAGAGATCAAAGATGAAAAATAAGTTGGTCACCAACCAAGATGAATTTTTCAATAAGTTGGCCACCAACCAAGATGAAATTTCCAACTTGTCAAACTTAATTTCAAGCCAAAACATAACAAATCTCCACCTTGGCTTGAAATTACCAAGCCTACTCAACTTTTTCAACTCCCCACATTTTATGAAGCTCTTTTAATGTAGTGCCTCTAATTGCGCTCACAAGCGCCATACACCCGAAGGTGCTCAAACTTTCAGGATGTTAATCAAGTTCAAACAATGATTGAACTTGATTATTGTTACCACATTGGTCATCATATCTGCAGGATTTTTTGATGTTGTAATTTTCTGAAGTAGAATCTTTCCTTCTTCAAAGATCTCCAACACAAAGTGATACGTCACGTCGATATGCTTAGTCCTTGAATGGTAGACTTATTTTCGATACGCGAATAGCGCTTTGACTGTCACAATAGAGACTAATGTGACTTTGAACAACTCCCAAGTCTTCCATCAAACCGTTAAGCCAAATTGCTTCTTCACAGCTTCTGAAACTGCCATGTATTCTGCCTCTGTAGTAGACAAAGCCACCGTAGATTGCAAAGTAGACTTCCAACTTACTGGGCTTTAGCAAGAGCAAACAAATACCCAGTAGTTGATCGACGCTTATCCAAATCACCAGCATAGTCAGAATCAACATATTCAACCACACACTGACCAAGTGCTTCATCCTGTTCAAAAACAAAACAACATCCACGGTTTGTTGGAGTTGCCGTAGAATCCATTTCACAGCTTGTCAATGTCCTTCTCTAGGATCATGCATGTACTTGCTCATAACTCCAACTGCTTGTGAAATGTCAGGACGCGTACACACCATTGCATACATCAAGCTCCCAACTGCAGTAGCATATGGAACTTTTTCCATA